GGCTGGGAGAGCTCCCAGGTGAGACCAAGTTTAGTTTTGTTGCAGTTAGCTGTGTGCTGTGGAGAGCACAGCGCTGGTTTGGAGACACTGGAAAGGGGCTCTTAGTGGGAAGGCTTCTCCATCTCTGGGTGGTCATCCCCAAGGAGCTTGTGGTGGCCATCAGGGTGTGCGAGGAGGTCCTGGAGCAGCCTTGTCCTGGGGGATGAGGTCAGGGAGCACTGAGGTGACAGCAATTTGACAGCGTGGCTTTGGTCCTTGTGGGTGCAGGAGGAGGTGGAAAGCCAAGGAGGTCAGGAGGAACAATGTGAGCACTGGGAGACGTGAGGGATGACTAAGAGAGCTAAATTTACAGAGTCTGGGAAAAGGAAGGATCAGGGGCAACTGTGGTCATGGGCTAAAAATACCTTCAAGGTAATAGTATAAATGAAGAAAGGGAATTACACGTGATCCCAAAGGAGGGGAGGGCAGGAGAAGGAGCTGGAGGGCAATGACGGAATCATGGAGAGTAGAGATGGGGAAGGAGACCTGGCCAGTGGGGAATTTGCCAGGAGAAGGGTCTGTGCAGAGCAGTCTAAAGATGACAGGGAAATGGGCTGGCTGCTGGTCCCTCTATGACTTACTTTCAGCTTTGTGGGTGCTCTGAGAGTAGTGCAATTTAATTCAATAGAATTTGCCTTAATTTTGCTTTTTTCCCCACTTGTTTCTCCTTCAACATGCCGAGTCAAGCAGCTGTTCTTTCCAGAAACCACTTTTCTTTAGAGTCAGGCCTCCACAGCACAAATTAATATTTAGACCTCAGCAATTTTAATCACCCTTAGAAAGGAGGAACATAAATTTCTGGTTAAGAATGGAGCATGTGTGTCTCACAAGTCAGTTCAGTGTAACTTGGGGAGATTTCTGTTCATACAGTCAGACACTTCCAGCTGCAGCTCTAGCTGATCTCATACAGCAGGATTTGTCCCGGGTTTTTCTGGAGCAGCCTCCAATGAGGTCGGTGCTGTCTAAGCACAGGGCAGGAAGATGGATGGTGGCACAGAAATTTTGCATCCAATAAATATGTAATATAAAATAAGCAGCTCTGTCAGCAGCAGCATGAAGGGAGCCTGGCTTCTTCTTATCAGCATGTTGCTTGCAAATTCTGATTGAAGATTTTTAGTGGCTGGGAGGCGTGGCATCCTCATGGGCACCTTTTCCTGTGCCTGGTAAAGAAGAGAATAAAATCCCCTTTGAAGGGGGAAGAAGGAATCATTGGGGAGCCTCTGTCTATCATGGCTTCTAGTTTTGATGAAAATTGATAGAAACGTAATTAGCATTGAAACTGGTGACTGTCAGATTTGATCAGAACTGGAAAACCATCTGGCTCATCTTCATTTCAGGTGATTTAAAAAAAAAGCTGAAAAAAATCAGTGCTGAAACTGTGGTTGTGACTGATTGCCAAAAGCAGCTTTGCTCTCTGCCCAGTTTGGACCCTCTTGCTCTTGAGGTGGCCCTTCTGCACCAGTGTCCTCACCACCCTGCAAACACTCTGCAGCTGTGCCCACATCTCTTCATCCCAAATGTGGAAGCTTCCACTGAGCATCGCCTTCTATTCTAGCCAGAAATGTCACACTCACCTTTCTCCTTTGGAAATATGTAGATTTGTCCATTTGTGTACATGAATTATCCCTCCTACAGCTTTTTTTTCCCTCAGGGCTCCACCTTATGCTGGGGAAGCATCTCCTTCCAGGTCGAGTTCCTTGTATGAACCAACCTCTCTTGGGTCAGGGCCACTGGTTTCAACGCCAAAACTGATTTTGCATGTGTTGGGAAGAGTCAAGCAGGGAAGAGACATGAATAATCAATAGACAGGGGCTCTTGAGGGCTGTTTTCTGCTCAGAGAAGAGGATGGGGGTGGTGGGAGGTGAGGGGGAGCTGAAGCAGAGCGAGATGGGTGGACACTGGGTGCAGAGAGACCGAGCTGTTAATGTCTTTTCCCTTGGCAGGTTAGTGTTGCTGGGATGTTGCAGCATCCTGTACAAGGGGAGGTAAAGCCATCTGCTTTAGGGTTTGAAAATAGCTCTGGGAGAGAGCTGTGGGTGACAAAACCCAAGCTACGGGTAGCACAGTTCACACAAACCACCAGCTGGGTGGGGATGGAGAAAGGGCTCTCGTTCAGTGTTTCAAGCAGAAATTTATCCCTGGAGTCATTCTACATATTTCACACCAGTCATTTCTTACTACATCTCAAAAATCGCCAGGGGACGGGCATGGACTTCCTGTATCTTAACATGGATTGATGGATTTCATCCTACCTTCAGGGTCTAAGCTATCTGCCATGGTGTTTATGTTTTAAAGCCATCACCAGTGTTGAAAGCAAAGGACTGACTCAGTAATTCTGTTTATTTGTGGAGACATAATGTCCTTGGATCAGATAAAAGCACCTTCCCACTGCTGCTTTTATATACCTCATTAATTCCCAGTGTTAATGGCTGTGTCTTGTCTTCTGCCACCCAGCAGAAGTGGCACACTAATGACTTCATCTCCAAAATCACCTCCTGCAGGCTCCATGCAGAACATCACAGCTCAGTGTTGTGTCCCAGCTGCTCCCCAAGAGTGCTGCTCCACTCAGGGCTGCAGCTGGCCAGGCACTGGGGACGGGATCAAGGGACAGCTCCTGTGAGTGCCATGGGGGGATGGAAAGGGGAGAGCCATGTGCCATGAGCACTCAACTGCAACTGGCACCGCCAACCCATGCAATATTGTAAGAAAGGAGTTAGAGATGCCCTAAGAGTCCAAGGTAAACAGAAAGAAGGGGTGAGGTTGGAACATGCCTTCATCCACAATATCAGTCCTTTTCCACCTCCCAAAGACCACTCTGTTCACAAAAGGAGGCAATCCTTGATGCCACTTGCTCTTGGCCTTGCTTGTCTTTGAGGTTTTGCCTCCCTCCCAGTGAAACAACAATCCCTGACAGTCCCTACCACCACACCGTGCCTTTCCTCAGCCCACCCATGACTTGGAGAGGGGAGAGCCCACCCCTTCCCTTTCCCACTCCTGATTTCTGGTGGTCTCAGAGATGCAGGATACCCAAAGCTGTGCTGCAGTGTGACACTGCAAGTGACCAACTAATTAGGCAAAGAGGAGTGCATTGAATTTAGATTCTTCTTTAGGGCTCACAGACTATTTGTAATCTTGAATTTGTTAATTGAAAATTGCTTCCTTTGTTTGTTGTTGGCCTTTTTGTGGAGGGGGATATTTCCTGCTTTGGGACTGCGTCACTGGATCTATAATAATGCACTTTGTACATTAGTGCCAGGCACATTGGTAATTGGCCACCCTATTAAAGAACACTAATGATCTTACAAGTGTTCACAAATAATGAATAGAATGGCCCCTCATTGAATTGAGCAATTTATTCGCTGACATACTTGCAGATCTGTTTTTCCAGTATTTAACCCAGCTTTAGTTTTCTGCCTGCCTTGCAGAGATGGCTTCTCTTTCAGCCATGTGTTGGAGAGAATATGGGTCACAGGAAACATTCTGTTCATAAAAAATGTAGGGCTGCTCCACGCTTGCTCTTCTCTCAATGTGCATGACAGGATTTGGGGAGTGAGAGGCAGCAGCTTTAATCTCAGTTCTACTCTTATCCATTAGTTCTCACTGGGATCCTCCTGAGAAATTAGGAGAGGACCAAAAAGCCAGGATTTAAGAAGTGCACTCTGAAAGGTTATGTTGATTTTCTCATTTACATATGAATTTCAGGAAAAGCTGTTTTTCCAACAAAACCCGGCCCTGGGTGGCTCCTGCAGCCATAAAACTGGGGGCCACCATTTTTCTGCTTCCCTACTAACATTGTGTTGAGGTATTTGTGATGAAAGGAGCAGCTTACCTGAGCTTGCAATTTAATTTACATACAAAAAGTTTTGTCCTAAAGCCTAGTTCTATTTGCAAAGAACACACTGAAGTGCACAGTTCACAGATCACCTGTGATTTTTTGGGTTGTAAGAGATAGAAATGTCACTGGGAAGGAGTTGATTATCTTGGGCTTGATTTTATTTGATTTCAGATCTTCTCATTGCACTGCAAAGAACCCTTTCCATGGAGAATAATTATGTGGGGCAGGCACCTCAGTCCTATCTTCTGCAGTCTGCCTGTCTTCTCCTGAGTCCAGTGAAGGTGTGTCAGAAGGAAATATTCCTTGGGGCAGAATCCAGCCGTGGTGTAAGAGGGGAATAGTGGGGTGTTAAAGAACTGATTTGGATCAGCACATCTGGAGATGGGCTTTCTGTGCTGGGAGCTTGGCTTCTGAGCAGCTTAGTGACCATGACATGATGCAGTTTCAGCATGAAAGCTGAATTTGGGCATCCAAGATGATAGGTTGGGCTTTTGGGAAGCATGGAGAAACGGAATGAGTTTGGGATTTGTGGAGAGGTTGAGCAGGTCTGTGTCTGGGTGGGCTCATGGAGATGGGGCATGGATCGGGTCCCTCCTGTGAGTGTCTGCACCCATCCCTCGCTGCCAGAGGGACGACAGCGATGGGCATCCCATCGGAGGGTGCTGCCCAGCCCTTCCCGGGGCTCCGTGGTGGTTTTGAGGGGGGTGCCAGAGCCTGCTTTGAGGAGCAGACACTGGGTTGGGGGCAGGGGGAAGATGTGTCTTGATCAGAGGGTGGGATGTCGGACCCTGCTTTAGCGGGGACCTACGTTCGGGGCAGCAATGCCAGACCCTGCTCTTCTTGCGGGGCGCGGTCGGAGCCGCTTTCTTTTCAATTTTGGTGGGGTGAGGAATGTCAAACCCGGATTTTTGGGAGTGGGGGGAGTGCGAGAGGCTGCTGCCGGAGGGGGATGCCAAGGGTTAAGGGGGCGGGCGGCGGCGGGGCGGGGCTGGCGGGGGCGGTTGGAGGCGGTCCCCGCG